CCGTTCACGAACTCATCGCCATCGACGGTGCCGACGTCGGAGTCTGTCATGAGGTCGCCCACATAAGCAGGACCCTTGCCGTTCATGTAGTCATCGCCATCCACAGTGTCGGCGTCTGTCATGACGTCGCCCACATAAGCAGGACCCTTGCCGTTCATGTAGTCACCCCCATCCACGGTGTCGGAGTCTGTCATGACGTCGCCCACATAAGCAGGACCCTTGCCGTTCATGTAGTCATCGCCATCAGCGGTGTCGGACTCGACCCAGTGGGTAGCACCGATCGCGTCAGAGCCAACCAAGTCACCCACATAAGCGGGGCCCTTGCCATTAGGGAAGCTGCCATAGTAATGGTCCGATCCCCTCCATGTTCCAGGGCATCCCACATGTGCGAACTGGCAACAAACACGCTTCTTGTGGGCATCCCAGGAATAGTACCAATTGTCGGCGTTGGAGCAGTCGATGGTCCCTCCGGAGAACAGCCCATGTCCGCCGTAGTAGCCACCGTCGTAGAAATTTGACGGATGATGGTCACCGTAGTAGTGATGCACGATGTAGGTCGGGCTAGAATCCGAGTCGTGCACATGGTGGAAGACATGGTGAACCTCGTGGTGGACCTCGTGATGCTTTGCATGGTGTTCCTGATGATCCTTCTCGTGTTCCTTGGCATGCTCTTTGTCCTCATGCTTGTCGTGCTCCTTGGCATGCTCCTTGTCCTCATGCTTGTCATGCTCCTCGGCATGCTCCTTGGCAACCTCCTTGGCAACCACCTTGGCAGCCTCCTTGGCATGCGCCGTGACATGATCCTTGACGTGTTCCTTGGCATGCTCCTTGGCAACCTCCTTGGCATGCTCCGTGACATGATCCTTGACGTGTTCCTTGGCCTCATGCTTGTCGTGTTCCTTGGCATGCTCCGTGTCATGATCCTTGTCATCGCCATGGAGGCGTCGTCCTCGCAAGCTGACAGAGTCGGCCGCTGGCGCGCAAAGCTCACCGGTCAAACCAGACCGAGCATCGCACGAGAGCGCAATGGGCGCCAGCAAACACGTGGCCAAAGCAATGCCGGCAAAGGCAGTTACCCGGCGCCATTGCGAAGCAGACGGCGCTTCCTTCACGGCACTCTCGGCAGCGGTCATGATGCCTGCTGCTAAGTCTGCTTTAAAACCCGGGTAACTCGTCGAACGGCTTAAGCCAAAGTTCTGCGGAGTCATGTTGAGGACTAGCCAGGCCATAAACATGTTCATGCTCATCCTGCGCATTTGGATCCCTACATGGACAAGCTCAGCACGTGATCTTTCGATCGTGTGCGAAGGCCCCGGCCATCTGAATGTCTTCGTCCTCCTCCTGCCGACAGGCGAGCTGGTGTGACAGACTTGTTTTTTTGAATTAAGCAAAATGGCTTTCTAGTCATGCCAGTGGGCGGAAGCACAGGCAGCGTTAGTGGTAACCATCCTGCATTACGCTGCGCCGTCATCCTGAGGGAAGCAAGGGGAGCAGAGACAAATGTTACTTTGCGTCAAAAGGCCGTCCACTCAGTTCTTCAGTGGTGTTCAGAGTTTATGATGGAGGTTTCGAGCCCGACACCAACTGCAAAACCTTTGATGGCATCTCTTCAATCGCTACTACCACCTACCCTGTAATCTGTACCCCCCCACCAAAGAAGCACTTAGTATCGCCCCTCTGATAGCTCCACTGGAGCCCTATTATAAACTCTGACATCCTAAATCTAAGCACCAAAGCCTGTCTGCCAAAAACAAATCGTAAACCCTACTAAACCAACCTATAACTGCCTTATACCGCCGATAGTTTACAGCTCAATGCCTCTACAGGAACCCCAAAACCACTCTTTGCCAACGCCCCCCAAAACCGATAAATCACTGCAGCTGGAAGCCAAAACCCGTCTACAAAACACTGTAACACCTTGCGAATGTAAAAGGTCTTTTCAAAGGACCCCCCCCCCCCTGAACCATTGCATTTTAAGGCCTTATAAACCCTAAACCATGTAAGCCAAAAACATTTGAACATTCTACAGCCCAAAGGCACTACTCAACCTTAAGCCTTTGATGGAGTCCCCCAAAGGAACCCTATAAGAACCACGACATGTTAAAGCCCAAAGGCCCCCCCAAAGCCTGAAACCTGGACCACAAACCCTAAACCCCAAGGCCCTTTCACGGAACCCTACTAACAAAAAGACAACAGAAGCCCTAAACCCATAAACCGCTACATCATGCAGCCTAAGGGTGCCCCCACTTTGGAGCCCATCTACAGGAATCCCATTTCCAAAACCTTAAACCCTAAACCCAAAACCCTTTTGCAGCATGGGCTTGGATTGTGTGCAGCGAACACTCCTCAAACAGCAGGGCCTTCTCAAACCCAAAACCCTAAACCACAAACCCTCAAAGCTAACCCCTAAACCCTATAAAGCCCAAAACCCTAAACCCCCAAACCCTAAACGCAAACCCCTAAACCCTAAACCTTAAACCTCCAAACCCTAAACGCAAACCCCTAAACCCTAAACCTTAAACCCCAAACCCTAAACGCTAACCCCTAAACCCTATACGCCCAAAGCCTTAAACCCCAAACCCTGAATTCTAACTCTTCAATCCTAAACCCCGAGTGCTTTGGAGCCTCGAAGTCCACGGCCTCCCAGGATCCCAGCGAGGTTTCGCTGCGCGGGGTCGCGAGAGCCGAAGAAGGGCCTGACATTTTCGGAAAATATCTCAGGGCTTCATAAGGGCTCTATAAGGCTATCTCAGGGTTCCCATAAGGCCTCTGCAAGGATATCTAAGGGTTCCATAAGGCCCCTACAAGGATATCTCAGGGTTCCATGGGGGTGCTAGAAGGATCTCCCAGGGGTTCCGTAAGGGCTCTATGAGGATCTCTTCGGGTTCTATGAGGGTGCTGTAAGAGTTTCTTGTGGTTCTAGAATTGTAATGGGCTCTATGAGGATATCTTAGGGCTGTATGGTGGTGCTATGAGCATCTCTTATGGTTCTATAAGGGGGTCTTCGGCGGGTTCTGTAAGGGTTTTACAAGGATTTTATTGGGTGCTTCTATGAGGGGTGCATAGAATCATAGGGACTTTGTCGGCTTTATGGTTTAATAATAGGATTCTATAAGGATTCCATGATTCGCTTCAAAGTGTTATCAGAGTTGTCTAGGGCTCTCTCAAGGCTTTTTGCGACAGTCACACTCGGACAAAGCCCGGCAAGGCCTTTATAGGCTTTATATATAAGGCTTTATACGGGGTTTGGGCGTGTAACAAGTTTCCAGGCGGTTTGGTGTTGTTTTGTAGGTTGTACAAGGCTCCAACATAGGGGTTTCCAGAAGGGTCCACGTATGAACCTATTTGGTATGGAGCCTGTTGAATCCCGTAGTGAAAGGCCTGATTATATACTGAGTGTATATATATATATATAATGAGCCTTATATAGGGGCTTATAGGTACTGTCGACAATACAGTGTTTAGCTTTTTGTGGGGCTTTCCCGAAGGAAAACGGATCGTTACAGGAGGCCATTTAGGGTGTAGCGCGTGGGGCTCGTTTTGCTGAGAACCTAGGCAAGGACCAATGCCCCGGACCAAAAGCCCAGAGCCCTGCCAAAGCCACCCACTCCATCAAACGATCTAGTCACACAACTCAGCTCACATCTAGTAGGAAAACTTACCGCAGCAAACAACGCCTTAAACATACCATCAGCCGTAAACCCAGACTAGAAGTATCACGAGAGGAATAAACTCGAATCACAATGAATTATAAGTACTCTAACTACTGGGCTTCTCTCAAGAGTAACTTGGCTTATAAGTCCACTTGCTATGCCCCGATCCGCGAAGGTCTACTGCCCGGGGCCCCCTAACCTCCATCTCCGCAGATCTCCAGGCGGAGAATACTCTGAGCCTCGGAAACCCTCAGGACTTCCACTGTCCAAACCTTTCTATCAACATGGGGTTCAGGGTTTACGGCTCTCAAAGGTTTTAGCCTGTGCTGTTTGAGATTTTGGAAGAGGGGGTGGTGCACTGCGACCAACCTATATAGCATGAGTTTCATGGGTTATGAGTTATGAGGTTGTTCAGTGTTCTGGGGAGGTTTTCAGGGTCAAGGAGTGCTTGTGCTTCACGGCTGTGGCTGTACACGGCCTTCTTGAGGACCTTGGCATTCCTGTAGGCTTCCATTCAGCACCCCCGGACCGTAGGAAGTATCCGGACAAACAAGCGATTCGATGGTCGGCCCGCGAGGGTGCAGCGTCCAGAACTCGTGGACCCCGAAAGAAACACAGCCATGCGGCAAAAGTCAACGCCTCTCAAACGCTGAATATTTGCCCTTGCTCATGCATTCATATGTTCCAATGGCTTCCTGAAAAAGCGAACTCTCGAACCACAAACCCCAAAGAGCTCTAAACACAAACCCACAGATCGAAAACCCAACAACCACAGTTCATTCATTCGAAACCCCAAACCCTATGAAAGCTTCTTTGCACTTTGGACAAGCGGCCCCTGCGAGATCCAGTGCATCCGGGAGCGTAGCGGGCGTAAGTGTGCACCTGGGGCTTGTTCTCTTGCAGACGTGCTTCGATGCAACCACCTTGAGGCCTCTACAAGCGATCCTACGTGAGCCCTATAACCGTCAACCCGGAACAGTGACCTTCCAGCAGCATTACACCCTTTAAAGCTTGCTAACAGTCCCCGACACGCGGACAACCCGAAGCGATACACTAATCAAGGTGCTGCCGGTGTCAAGAACGCTGCGAACGTCGCTGGTGAATAATTTTATGATGGTGATGATGATGCTGATGATGATGATGATGATGATGCTGATGCTGATGATGCTGATGATGAGGATGTTGCCAACGATGCTAACGATGATGACACTGACAATTTCATTACGATGACGCTGGTGATTGCGATGATGGTGCCACATGTTCCAGCGTTGCAAGTATGTGTGGTGGCGATGCCCATCACATACCGGGTGATGACAGCCATGAAGTAATAGTAGCTGTCGCCGTGATGGAAAGTGCACTGTCTGAACCCGAAGTTCATAGTGCGCTGGGAGCAAGGCCAATCGCCCTCCTCGTCCTGGCCGAAAGGCGTGGAGGTACTGAGTTAGGCTGCAAACTGCTGCATATGTACTAGCGACATGGCAAGGCTTCGGGAGGGGATTCCTTGCCGGTGGGACTTGCTGTGCCATGAATCGGGGCTGAGCTCTGAAACCTGGAAGGTGAAGTCGAGGCGGCTGCAACAAAAGGGAGTGCCGCATGAAGACCTCTCACGACAGCGCCTCTGCCTCGAAGTTCTCCGAAGGAGGTTTACCAAATACAAGAACAAACACAGTACACTACAATGTATATATATATATATATATGTGTGTGTGTGTATATATACACACACAGACATGAAGGTGCCCTGCGGTCCCCCACTCTGGACAGGCCTGGTACTTCATGATGAGGTCTGAAAGGTCAAAGCATGCCTGGGCCGTGTCCTTGATGACTTGGTACGACACCTCCAGGAAAGTTTGAGGTTTAGGGGTTTTTTGCCTCCCACCTAGCTGGACGAGCCCGTCTTGCGGGGTAAAGTCAGACGGCACAGGGTACACTTCTCGATTTGTGCATAGGCTTTAGGGTTTAGGGTTGTCCCGCGGCAAACCGCTCGAAAAAAAAATGGCTTCAACTTGACGCTGAATCCTAAGCACAAAAGCCCTACATCCTAAAACCCTAATGCTAGACCCAAAAGCCCTACACCCTAAACCGTGAAAGCCTAAGCTTCGGAGGTTTCTTCTCTGCCCAGGCCAGTCGGCCAAGAAGGCGAGGTTCCAGAGACTCTTCTGTTTCTGAAAATTTTGGTAGGGTTCAGGGTTTTGGGTTCAGGGTTACCTAAACTACAGCTTCACTTCTTTGTTTGACCCCCTGCAAGGCTACAGCAAAACATCATGAGACATCGGAGTATGGAGTCGCTGCAGTTCAGAGTTCACAGTGGGTCAAAACTAGTTTAAGGGCTCTTCCTCGCGACGTCCACCCAAGGGGCTTGAAACTTCGAGACCCTGAACCCCAAAAGCAGCATGGGTTTTCGCTGAGCCACGTCGGAGACCTCGGCATGGCATGCGAGTCGCACGGCTCTGAAGTCCCCAAATTCGCTTCACAAACGGGTTGGGCAGTTGAGATTTGGGGAGCTTGGGCTCTTGTGCCATGGTGTAGGGGAGCTGGTCATCGTGAACGGGAGCTTGAGCCTCGAAACCTGTGCTGGCTTGAGAAGGCAAAGGTCTACAGGGAGTCGGTCTGCATGCGAGGTAAGCTGCGGATGTGAACCGCTTGCGACGAACGTCGCTGCCGAAGGAAAGCTTGATGACAAACCTCGTCGAATAGACGATTGAGCTCTCGGGAGAAGGGTGAGAACAACAGCACTGAAACTGTCCAAAATGCCCGATGACATTCTCAACATCTCTGAACTCTAGCCCACAGGCTGCAAGCACAAAGCAGTTTCACTTCCAAAATATTCAGAACGCGACACAGTTCGAGCAAGCTGGAACTGTAGCGCTGCCGGAGTTTCCATCAAGCGACGCAATTCGGCACATCCTCAATTCTCGAAGAAACCATACATTCCCTAAAAGGGGTAAACACAACACTCCGAGTGGCTCCATGGCTGCAGTCGGGTGCCTGTGGGGCATCAGGGTTACAGGACCCCAGCCGAACCTGAAGGTAGGGATGCACTCGTCATTCTTGAGGCATTCGAGCTCCGCTCTACTTTATATCAACGGTCTCAAAACACAACGTACCCATCCAAAGAGGGTACACGGCTTGAAGGATGATACCCTGTATGCAAGGTGATACAAACTCTCTCGGACTCGCACGGCCCTCTACACCTTCGTAAACTCAGCTTCGGGGATCCGATCCTGCGACTCGAAATATGCCTTCCTACCCTGAGGTAAGAGAGTTATGTCACAAAATCTTAAGATTTATTGTGGTTGGTCTCCAAGTTAGTGGCTGTGGAGCAAAACTTGACACTCAACCATGGGTGTTCAGGAACTATGGGATGTAGAAACCTCCTTGACACGCTGCCCATCTAAGTGACGCTCAAGTCCGTTGCGCAGTATATCCGCACAAGCGTAATCAAGAAAAGTCTCCGCAGAAAAGGACAAGTTTCTGTAGATATTGAACTGAGGCGGGCAAGATTCCTAAACCCAGCAATTCAAAAAAATGTTCGACAGACTATGGACTGCCATCGCAACACCAAAAACAAATCTGCAGGTTGAAATCAAAGTCAGCAGCCCTTGTCAGTGTCGCAAATGGGCTGAAGCTGTGGGATCCCAGAATTTAATGTGGCAATGTCGGAAATCTGCAACTCCTGATCGAAATTCCACAAGCTCGTGCCGCACCTTGCGCTGCTGTGATAGCTGGGGCCAACAGGACAACGCCGTAGTGGCCGCGCTTTGCTAGAGCCAAAAACATTCGTTGGAGAGCGGCTGAAGACTCAAACAGCTCAGAGGCAATCCTGGCAGAATTTATTTCGTGATTTTATTACGTAATTAGACACTGCCCCAACTAAGCATGCTATGGGATGGCCTTTCGAACAGTCAACGGTATGATATGACTTCCACAGTTGCAACCCTAGAGTAGTCCTATATCTGGGTAGACCGGGTAAACGATATCAACAGAATCTACCGGAGAAAAGATGAGCAGGAGTTCTAAAGTGTCAAACTACTTACAACGCCTCCTTTCCAGCCAGCCTGCCCACTCTGTCCGCAGGATCATCGTTCGTAGCATAGAAGAAACACCTGCAAGACAAGTTCACCCCAACCTCCATAAGCCCCAAACCCTGAGCTCGGCAGCCTGGAGCCCAAACTCACCTCCTACCCGAGTAGGAATGACCATATATCATGATCTGTCTCAAGGCTTTGTGCGAATAAAGCCTTAGGGCTGAGGAAACTGATTTAAGGCAGAACTCTACATTTGTACGTGCTATAACACACACACACACGCATAAATTAACTCATACATACAGTTGCATACAGCTACAGCAGCTACAACAAACAAACAAACAAACATACATACATGCATTGTACATACGTACATACATGCATTCATGCATATATCCTTCCGTCAACGCATGCATGTGTGCTTACTAACGCACACTGTCACGTTTCACATACAGATAAACACACACACACACACACACATGTATGTATATATATATATATAGATATATATATATATATATGTGCATATGTATGTAGCCCTAAACCTGAGGAGAAAGATCACAAATCCTTCACCAAGGCCGGCGCTGAGGATGAAGTTGGAAGACGAGCGCACCTTGGCATCTCTTCCTACGGTTTGCGACTTACAGGGCTTAGAGGGTTCAGGGCTTTAGGGTGTACGTGAGACGCGGAGAAACCAGAACACAAAGACAGGTTTGCAGCAATTCCACTCACAACCCGGGACGCCTGAAAATTCAGCCTCCAAGGCGACCGCTCTTTGTGATCTTGTAGTAGGTAATGGCAGTGTCCCATCCGACCACCACGCCATCGAAGCCTGTAGTCTTCGGGGCACACTGCACAAACCACGGTCCAAAGTTAATCGCTTCCACACTGTTGCTATTGATATTACTATTGTTGCTATTATTGTTATTCGAAACTATTGCTATGACTATTATGATTATGATTGTCATTATTGCTGTTATTCTGATTCTTACCACTAGTGTTATCACCACCATCAACAATTAAGAACACACGACCATTGTTGTTATCAAGTTTTGTTACTAGTGTCATGATCCTCATTGCTAGGAGCCTCTCTCGTTGCATGATAATCGTTACTGCGATCACAAGTTGCATGTTGAAACTTGTAGCTGTCTCGTCGTCCAGTGCTGATGCGGCGCCAAGTGTGCTAGTACAAGTTGTGTCAGTACGGGGCAGGCTTGGGATTAGCCTTATAGAGAAGCAGCTTGTCAACATCCACCGAGGCTGAAACACAAAGCCTCCCCATATTCGGAGCGTGTGGACTTGACTGAAAGCCTGAACGACACAAAATTTTCGATGCCGAAGTCTCCGAACTTTGTTCCGAGTTTGCCCTGGGTCGAAGACCCAGAAACATCCCAGAAACACCACACCTTCACACTGGGCCGGCGGACGTGTCGCGGCGACCTCTTCCGCCAAAGCCTTGAAGCTGTCCTCGCTGAAGCGCTCTTCGTCCTGTGACGGCAAGTGCTTCTAGGTTCTTCTGTTCTTGGGGCTCTCCAGTTGTTTTCATGGTGTTTGCCTCCCCAACTTCGGCTTTGAGGCTTGGGTTTCGGGTTGAAGGTTCCAGGCTACCATAAGCTTTACGCTTCATTCTATCTTTTTTATGATTTTGTTATGGCACTATAAGTTGTAGGGTTTCCGGTTTCGGCGAGGCTTCTGTGCAACAAGGTTGCGTTACATTGCCTTGGGGAACCTGAAACCCCAGTCCTCAGTGGGACCTCCGTGGCAGCAGAAGCCCAGCTTCTCAAATTCTGCAACGAGGCCACCACCACCTTTACAGTGAATGTCTTGACAAAGCCAGGTCTCCTAGATCCTTGGAAGCATATGTGCTCGCCATGCCTCTATCTGTCTGTATACACCCCTGACCTTAAGCTCTGTGCTCGTTTACGAATCCACAAGGCGACTTAAAGCCTGCACCCTTAGGCGGAAAGCGAAATATCAACAGCCGCTTGTGTAGTCTCCAAGGCACCGATGATGTAGAGATTCGAGGCCTGACAGGGGGAAGGATGCAAAAGATGTGACTCTGATGTGACTTCTGCGTCGCGCGGCCGAGGGCTTCGGGTCTGCGAGGTGTGGGGGGAACTGTCGGTGGCATCAGGCCTCCTGCCGGGGGCTGGGGGGCCAGAACCCAGGGGCCGAATTCGGCCCGAAGCTCCAAGCACTGTAGCAGCAAGATGAGCACACCAAAACCTTGGGTGACCCCTGGCAGTAGGGCTAAGACAGCTCGGCTTCAGGCCCCTGCTCTCAGCAAACAGCTTCGGGTCCGGAAGGGCTTAACTTCACAAAAAAAAGTTGAGCATCATTGTAGGGTGAAAAACGGCCCCAGCAACAGGTTCCAAAAACCAAATGACAGAAGTGCATTGGAAACAGCAGCTTCAAGCTGCGTATGAACAGAGGGCTTGCAGGAATGCGCACCAGCAAAGGCCGTGGCTCGGTGGCAAGTGGCGGTGTCAAGATGAACAGGGGAGTCCAAATCCTTTAAAACTGTATATATCGAGAGACTCATTCCAATTGCAGCTTATTTCCTCTCGCTCCTCTCTGCTATCCAGAGACTCCGAACTCCTTTGCCAAACCTTCTAGCAAGGTATATTGAATGCAGTCGTGCATAGACTCGTATCGGATTTCTTCATCGGATTCTTAGTCATGGGAGTCTCTGGGTGCTGTCAGCAATGTCTGCTTCGACGACGTCGGCATGCGGAGGTCTGTCACTGCTTCGTCTAGTGCGCAGACGAACTGTACACCACACCAGGGCCCACCTTAAGTCTAGCTAGGGCAAAGTACCCAGAGAACCCAATGCACCTTAATTAAGGAATATACCTTAAATTATAGGGGCCTTAATATTATAATTTAAGGTATATTCCTCAATTAAGGGGTATTGGGTTCTGTGGGTAGGGTAAATCTCCGGTTCTGCTGCAGCGGCCAAAGCTTCCTTCGCCAAAACGTTTGCGAAAGCTCTGTCACCGCCGCTCGGCAGATGCAGGGGGCCAGCTGGCTAAACCCGGTGGCGCCCCTTTGGGGTACCCACTCTGCAGCTGCGCGCTAGAGGCTCGTGTGCAAGATCACCTTTCCGGTCTTTGCGTGCCTACGCCCTGAAAGGCTCGTGCAGGCAGCCGAGGTAGCAGCGTGAAAAGAAGCGCACCTGATGTGGACAACGGTAGGGTGCTACAAGAAACCCAAGCCTATAGAGCCTGAGGAGTCGGGTCACCGCGAAGGGATTATGATATCTGAGGTCAATCGAGGTTGATGTAAGTCCGCATTGCATATATAACCCTAACCCCAATACAGGGCCCTACGGGCTCTAGTACCCTATATAGTAGGTACCTGGGAGGTTAAGGTCATGTATCATATGTCATCTGTTTCTTGAGAGTGTCTACGCCAACATCGGCCTAAGCCATGGCTGGGACCTAGGTCTTGGCTTTCCCATACACCGGAGCTAAAGCGGAACTACCGCAGCCTGCCCAAACCCTAAACCCTAAACCATATAAAATCCTAAACTTTAGACCTTGTAAACCCACGCTATACTACTACACCCTAAACCCTGTAAGCCCTCAAAATTTGAAGGGTTGCTAAAGCTGCCCAGTCGCCATGGCTGGATCCCAGTCGTCCTCCATGGTCTGCCACTTCTTAGCAGTGTCAGCGGCCTGCATGTCGCAACAGCAGAGGGCTAGGACGGTGACAAGGTTCAATAGGGTTTACGCTCTCGCAACTCGGACTCCGCCAGACGAGGTCTCTTGTGGCCAACTAGTGTCTGCTGCTATAGGGTTTAGGGTTTAGCCTATGTGGCATAAAGCAGCAGCAAAAAGTCAATCGTCACTCAGGTGTCCAAGTCTTACACTCACCTCTTTGTGAACCATTTTGATGCCCTACCGTGTGCCTGAATATCCGTCCGTTTCACTAGACAGCTGCAGACAAAGACTTCCTGCAACTTGAAATCAAATACCACCTTACCAAGTTATGCTTTGTGCTGTGGGCGAGCCTTGATACCAGGAAAGTTTTGTAGTACAACGGCCCACCTACAGAGTCATACTTGGGCTTATGCGAGATTGGAATGCTAGTCGTGCCTTGTGGAAGCTGGGCCGCTTGATTCTCAGAACACCTGAGATGCGAAGGGCCAACAGCCCATGCTCAAAACTTCCCCGACTGATGAAACAGCAGCCCTATATAAACCCTGAAAGAGCCGGTTTGGTTCTTCAACCTGCAACCGAAGTCTAAGTGAAAACAACCATGTTGAAGAAGCCTGAATCTGCGGTTCTTGCAGTTGCAAAGGCTTTTTGGGGGGAGCCTTTGTGTCTGGTGGATCTTACACTTTCTGGTGGAGTTAAGGTCCCTTGCCGGGGGATGCAACGAATCTGTGTATCGTGTGGTCGAGAAGGAGCTGTTTGCTTACATAGACTCGTGGGCAGAATCTACAGTAATTTGACTTCAAGCACAAGCGATGATGTACGATGTGACTCTGACAAGGCGTGGAGGCTTCAGAAGTCTTGCCTTGGCAAAAACCAAGCCCGTGGCACAACCGTCACTAATCCACCTTGCCACAGATGCTTAGCGGCTTAGCGTTCGTGTTTGTCTGTGCAGGTTTCCAAGAAGCCTTCAATATGCCAGCAACGTCACACAGGGCAAGTGGCTTGTTCCTCGTGTCGGCACCTCCGCTTTGACGAGCTGTAAGGCACCTATGCAATCAGCAAGAAACACGCTAAGTCTGCCCTGGCGCCTGCGCTTTGGGTCACTGCCGAATCCACCAAACCTCCCTACAGCGCGGCAACAGTAGTCTCGTTGCCGTTCGCCAAAATGCCCAAACAAAGCCAAGCCAGAACACGTTCAGCCTCAGCCGAAAACCAATGATGCCAGCATGACGGTGCTGTATTGTGTTGTTGCCTGAAACCTATTGGCTGAAGCTAGACGGAACGGGACCGGCCTGGTTATGATGCATGCATGGAATGTCACATTACCTTCCTACATTGTAGGAAGGCTGAAGTCTCACACATTGTTTATTTTTGGGGTAGCATCTGTGCATCATGAGTCAGAACCTGGGACAAACAAGTTTGAAATCGTCTGCGAACACGATTCAATGTGGGGATTTTGAAGTGCAGTATAAGATTCTGTAACCCATTTGATGCTCCAATCTTGCGGAACATGTCGCCAGCCGCGCCTGCGTCGGTTGCTGCCACGAGCTCCTGCTCCGGAACTTCCGGTCATAGAACCAAACACTTGCAGCCGAGGGGAAACCGCCAAACCGAGCCATGGACATTCCGAGTCCTTACATGCCAAAGGCTACTTATTGCCTACTATGCTGCTGGAGCTTCGATGATGTTGAACCGAAGCGGTGAGCACAAGGTTTTTGCCGTTTCTTGGGGTCGATGGTTTCTGTTCCAAGGGCTGGAGGCTCGAAAACGAAGGAAGACACCTGAACAGATAGCACGTGTTGACGGCTGTAACACGGCCAAGGAGTGTTCTGCGGCATGTGTTGCAAACACCTTGTAGAAAACGATTCATGTGCTGGCGCAGTCCGCCATCTTTCAATGCATTGAGCCCTCAAACACTTCATATGTCCTGCAGTCACAGAATTCGGTCCCGATGCCTCACACCTGCTTCTACCCCGCAATCGCCAGGCGCACCACCAAGCCCTTCACTATGTCAATGGCTAAGCAACTACTAGCCGCCTAAACTCGACACTACTGGGACCCCCAACGCAATCCGAAAGCAGCAAAAATTAGCCGTGGCAACTGGAGAAACGCTTTCTTCGCGGAATCGCATTGCATAACATTGCATAACATGCAAGCAAGCAAGCAAGCCAGCAAGCCAGCAAGCAAGCAAAAATACGTGCAAACATACATGCATGCATGTGTATATATTTTTTATATATGGAGAGAGCGAACTGCCTTGAGGCCTCTGAAGATCCCTTTTTCATACATCTCCCAAAACCTCCAAAACTGGCTATGCTGCAAAATTAAAGCACAGCCCCCGGGCAGTCCCTTCTGTATACATACATGCATGCGAACATGTGGTCACACATGCATACCTGCATACATCAATGGATGCATGCATGCAAACACACAGCAATCCTGCCATGCATGAATGTACACACAGACAGCTGGTTTTTTCTTATGAGGCAACATGTTGAGATATGGCCATGCGCTGGAATCGTTCAGTAGTTCTAGTCGCGCGCTACATCTGCATGCAGCAGCCCTCTGTCTGCTAGGATTTGATATCTGCAAACACACGCTGCAACAGGCTTCCGACCCAGTGGTGCTAGGGATGAGATTAGCGAATCCGAAACCAGAACGGCATTCCTGCGGATGTCGACGGCTCTCGGGGGCTTCAAGCTTAAGCCGATCACCATTGGCCATGGCTGCGGCTGCAGCAGATTTCAAAAGCTCTGCTTCTAGAGATGATCCCAAGGCGTTTGCGGTGAGGCTTTCGGATCTTGCAGGTTTGGGGTTTTGGGTTGTTCGGAGGTTTGTCACCATTTTGAGTGGAGACTTGGTGTTTGCTGCTCGAGAGTTGTCGCTTCGGGAGTTTGGTGCTTCAGAGGTGCAGACATGCGTAGATTCGGACCTCAAATCGGGTCCTGAAGTGCTGCAGTGGCTGATCAAAGGGGGTCCCGAGCAAAGGACGGATCACGCAAACTCCAATGCGATGGGTCTTAAACAGCTGCGACAGGTACAGGGCCACCGCCTAATTACCACCTAGCGTTATCATATCGATATTAAAAACAATGCGTGTTGGGGGAATGCAAGCATAGTTTTTGCGACATGGAGCTGGCGTTTACAGGCTATGTGCGGTTTGCAAGCTACAAAGTATCAACATGTTTGATGGAAGGCTGTTACATTCCGGATCTACTAATCATTACTAATCTACTCTGGTTTCTTCTGGGGCTGTACGCACTTAAGCATCTCACGCATGAGTAATTTCTTAAGAGTGCGGCTCATGAAACCATGATGAATCATGGTACCAGCAGTTCAGCATCGTTTTATGGGCGGGGTTACCCCGG